ATTTTGCCACTACACATGTTCCGCAACAGATCAGGGGAGCCAACCTTCTTTTTTTTCACTATTTTCACTTCTTTCATTAGTTTCATTAGTTTCATTAGTTCCAATTCCTGTATTTCCTGCATTTCCTGCATTAGTTCGTTCCATCTTGCTTAACTGAACACAGCCCAAGTATAATACAATGTAAAATACCTCACGTATAATACGTGCCCAACCCTGCCTCCGACTGCCCATGCGGACACCGATCGCAGGCTGCTGACCATGTCTTTTTTCACTGCTCTCTTCATCGGGACGACTCCGATGCCCTAATCAGCAAACTCCACCGCATAGATCCTACCTGTAACCTCAGCATTGTGGACCTTGCCTTTTCTGACAACGCCGACATCTATAAAGCATTATTTGGATTCGTCGTAGACGCGCAATTACGTCTATGATCTCCTCTTGTATTTCCTTTGCTTCTACTCAGGGGCCCGATTCTCTAACTCACTCGTAAGAGAAACGTATGCGCAAACTCAAAGTTACGAGCGCTTCAATATAGAAAACCTATAGGAAAGTGTTCGTAACTTTGAGTTTGCGCATACGTTTCTCTTACAAGTGAGTTAAAGAATCGAGCCCCAGGCAAATCCGAGCACAGCTTTTCTCTCTTTCGCTTCCCTTCATTGGCTGATTGCCTTCATGCACGCACACTTATTCGCGGCTTTCTGTTATATCACAGTTCCTCACTTTTCTAACGTGTCTTTCTATTGGTTCTTTTTACCTGAAGAATGGCGTATGGGTATATAGGGCCCTCTAGCCAACATCACACCGAACCGAACCGAACCGAACCGAGAGCGAGTATAAAAATAATATTTTTATATATAAATCAGCGTAAAGAAGACTGAGTTTTGTTAAAAGGGAAGAAGCGTACAATAAAAGTTGGAATAGCATCGACGCATGTGCTTTATGCATTCATTGCTATCGTGCTACCCGCGATCCTGCCGTCCCTTCAACGGAAATCTCTACAACCTTCAAGGTTTTCTCGCATTTCGTTTACAAGAGGTCTGGCCAACGATTCAAGCCAATACTCTACGATTCGAGATTTCGGAATTTCTCCATTACCGGATAGTCTACGGAATAAACCCCCTCATAATCTTACACAAGTTATTAAACTACTTTTAACAAACGGTTCTAAAGTTAACAGCAATACTGGAAAATTTAATCATACTCCACTTCATTTTGCTGTTATAAATAGTGACATAGAAATTGTTAAGATGGTTCTAGACAGACGTGATGACGTTAACGCCAGTGATGATGACGGTATAACTTTTTTTTATATTGCAGCTGAGAAAGGATATTTACAGATTGATGAACATCTTTTAAAACATGGAGTTTAATTGGAGAGTTAATTCTACATATATCTCTTCCTTTATAGGTGTTACACCACTGTATCTTGCTGTTCAAAGAGGACATGTTGATGATGTAAGGATGCTTATAGACAAAGGTGCCAACGTTAATGCTGAAATTCGGAATGGCACAACTCCGCTTTACTATGCGATTGAACATGAAGAAATGGAAATTGCTGAATTACTTTTAAATCATGGAGCTAACGTTAACGCCAGTGACGATGACGGTATAACTTTTTTTTATAGTGCAGCTGAGAAATGATATTTACAGATTGATGAACATCTTTTAAAACATGGAGATTAATTGGAGAGTTAATTCTACATATATCTCTTCCTTTATAGGTGTTACACCACTGTATCTTGCTGTTCAAAGAGGACATGTAGATGCTGTTCAGATGCTTATAAACAGAGGTGCCAACGTTAATGCTGAAATTCGGATTGGCACAACTTCGCTTCACAATGCGATTGAAAATCTATGCTTATGATCCAGTTACTGAGCTTCTTACACAGCATATAGTTAAGATAAAAACTGCAAAGTTATACGTAAGTGAAAAATTATTATCAATGAGTAGCATATATGAAACAAGATATTTACAGTATATGTGTGAAAAAGAAGTAGCAATCATGAAGAATAAGAAAATTAGTAATTCTAACATTTCATTTTATGATATCTTGATAAAAGATACAAATCCACTAGCAATATATATGAGAAATGAAAATGTAGTGCAGGTTCTAAGATCAGACGATTATAAAACAAAATTTCCAATATACGCTAGCATGATAAAAAATAAGTTCAGAAAAGGTATGGAAAGGAAAGAGTTGCTCGAACAAGGCACTAAAATTTTCAATTTTTTCTGTAACTTTCCTGAGCTACCACATGAGTGTATTGATCAAATATTTAGTTACCTAAGTGATAACGACGTAAGAATTTTAATAGATACTTGTAAGTCTGTTAGTGTCAGTAATCTTAATACTGATATTAATGATGTAACACTTACTTCAAATACATCTAAAGTGCTATGTGTGTAAGTTAAGGAAGAACGAACTACTTTAAACATGAAATAACAGCTATAAAAATTTAAAGATTATTACTTTATTTTATGTGAATACAGATTACTATCTTATTTTAAATTTATATTTTTGTAAGAGTTTATCGTATTTTACTTTTTTAAAAGTTGGTTTTTACGTCTATATTCTCTTGGATATGTTTTCTTATAATGAATCCAAGGAAAACTAGGCTGTTTTATATCTCTCACTTTTTCAAACTTTGTGTCAGATTTTATAACATTTGTACAACGAAAAATTTATACACATTAATCCGATGATACTCTTTCATTGAACAGATTGTAACACGTTTAATTGCTTTTATTAATTTAAATTAAAAAATAAAATTAGATTGGAAAACTTTGAATCAATCTTTGTTTTTATCACAGATATATGTATGTATTTTCCTTATATACAGTTTTTTAAATATATTAACGATAACATACCTACAGAAAAGAAAGAACTGCGCTGTGTACGGTGTATAAACGATGCATAATCCAACTATGTTTTAAATTAAGTTATACAATAATTTATTCTATTTGTAATATTTCATCGATATCCGAATCCAAACCCTGACGAAAATAAGAAGCTTTACAGAGCGTTGATAACCGTTTAATGAGAATTTTCTGAGAGTTTATACGCTTTCAAACTTTATAAGAATGCTTTTATAACGCCAAAAGTTTGGAACTCTTTTGGAACGCTTATCAAACACTATGTATAATGTTTTCTAAACATTCTGCAATGATAAGATAACGCTTTTCACGAAAAGCTCACTAAATACTGATAAATTTTCGTACAAAGAGTTTGCTGACAGACTTTTCAAACGGTTAGCAAATGCTATTATGAGTAAGTAATAAAAAATATTAAAAACTACACATTAAAAATCAATTCATTTATTATAACTCAGTTTATTGTAAGAATAAGAAGACTATTGATA